AATGATGAACCATCATTCATCAATTTCCATTTCTCTACTCCTATAAAAGACTCGGTTGGTGATGGTGGTGTGTCTGCCATCCGTCATTTATGACCATTAGATCTGCATCTAATGACTGTGATGTAAGTTATGGCCTTTTGCAACAATATCCCACTACTTTGCTCCAATTTCTCTACTCCTATAAAAGACTCAGTTGGTGATGATGGTGTGTTTGCTATCCGTCATTTCTGACTAGTAGATCTGCAGCTAATGAGTGTGATGTAAGTTGTGGCCTTTTTGCAATAAATCACACTTTTCTGCTCAAATTTACAGAAAACCTCTTAGTATCTTGAAACCAACCACATACCTACCTTACCTCAACAAAACAACCCAAGAAATATATTTTGAGTGAAACATAAGATATTTTTAGTGATATATGTATATCAAAACTAGACTATTTTCTTTCAAATTTGTGACTGTATTATTCTACTTTGGATCTGTTGCAACGCACGGGCACATTACTAGTAATAGTAGATATTTCACCAATTTCCATATAATAGTAGAAATTTGGTTGTTAGGAAATGCAGAGATCGATGTGTTAGGAAAGTATGGATTTGGCATTGATTGTCACAAAATTGGACTTCATTGTTTGGTAAAGTGCTATCGGTTCCTACCCGTTTGTAATGTGGCTGGATAGGAAAGATTTTATTGTATGATGAAAAAACCAGCGTGAAGAGGTGGTGGTGGGAGGTGAGACAAAAAAACCCAGAAGAAATGAAACAAGACAGAAATAACCATGGAAAGGAGGCTTTCAAGTGAGACATTAGGAGTAGAGATTAATAAGTTTTCAATGGTGTATTCGTATCCCGAGGTAGCTAAACAGGAGCTTGTCAATCTCATAACCGAATAGTTGCGTGTAATGATTTTTGTTCTCTTTGGCATATCCGAAACCGAGTAAAAAATTTGAGAGCTCAATAAACATTTTGAATTTTTTTTCAACATGGGGCGCACAAAGAAAAAGAATCCTCCTACGCTGGATAATTAAACTACTGCCTGATCCTAGGAGCTGTAAAAGTAGCTTCTGCCCTGCGAATACTAGGAGAAGAAAATGTATTTGAAAAGGGTGCATGTTGAATATATATGCGGCTTAAGATAAATATTGCAGCAGGAGGCGTGCATCGTGTCGGCTCCTTGGAGGCATGAATGCAATCGCTAGTCCTAGATCACGCTATGCTTGAGAAAAGAAAAGGCACAAACATGATTAGGACCACCAAGCCACTTCTCTTCAATGTAAGCCATTAGCCTATGTACTTAACAGACATCACTTGGAGTACATATGTTGAGTACTTAAAAATCTAATCTTCAAACCAGCCAACCCAAAGGAGTCGGTACCACATTTGAAGGCCACAGAAACCATGCTAGGAGATAGAAATTACTCCCAATTCGCTCTCACTGTAATTGGATTGCGATTTCCTCTGGATTCAATCTCAATGACTACTAAGTTTTCTTTCTACTTCTATTTGTGGCATATAGAATTTTACGATCTACTTCTATTTGAGGCATATACAATTTTACGATAGATGAAGTGGAAGAAGGAACAAGGCTTGAAGGTGGATTAGCAGGGGAATGAATGCGATGAAGCTATTCCTCCGCTAGAATAAGGGGGGCATGATCGCTGATTTGACCGGGTAGACCAGATGAGTGAGACTGATTGAAAGCATTGTGCCAACTTGCGTACACGATTTCTAGTGCCAAAACGCTCTTATATTATGGAACGGAGGAAACACATCAGAGACTGCACCACCCTGAGCATGTAGCTCCACTACAGTGGCAAAATACAAACATGAAGTAGTATAGATTGAAGCCATTAAGCAAGACCCTGAAACAAATAGGAGCTGGTCGGCATGGGAGAGGATGATCTTGTTAATGAGCACCCTGAATCCGCTGTCGTGAACATGGCGATCATGTCAACACTCAACACACAGCTTTGGCCCAGGCAGAGGAGGTAAAAGTAAAATAAGACCAGTTTCAGTCACATACACATATGAAGTCTTTCCTTGTAAATATAGAGAAAAATGCACAAAACAACAGGGTGACAACGTTAAGGAAGATGTCATACATCACAAAACTAAACCGTGAAGGTTTTGAATTACCACCGGCTTTTGGGGTGTCCTTGGTTAATCTGGGGGTGACACGTGGTCTGCCTCGGTTTTTATCTCTTTGGTTTTTCTGCCAGTTTTCAAGCATGTGGGTTGGTTCACCACTTTAATGCTAGACTAGTAAGTTACAGAGAGAGTGAAGTGTGACCCAATATCGACACACCACATTATAATAGACAAACATATACATTTGGAGTCACGCACAAATGAAATTCAAGCTATAGGTTTATCGAAAAAGGCTTTCGCCCCACTTTATATATAAAGCAATGCCACACCTTACAACCAACAGGACAACAGGAAACAGAAAATACACTCGACACGGATACAAAGCACTACGGAACAGCTAACGAGCTCTGAAGAACCCAAAAATACTTCGGAGCCCACGACGGTTACAGATCATGACATGGACACGCCCGTGGCAAGGGAGCTAATCGTTGCAGGAGGAGAGCCATGCTTTGTCGCCTCCCAGGGCCACTCGGTTCACCATCCTAATCTGCCGCTGAAGAGGGCACCCCCGCCCTCTCGTCCTGGATCGAAGGACATCGACCCATCAGCAGGCAAAGCAGCTCACCCCCGAGCACGCTTGGACCGGTGAACCAGTTGCCGAGGAGAGAGCGACCGCCCTGGCAACCTCACCTCTGAAAGAAACCCATACATCGCCACCGTCTCCGGCCAAGACCCAGAAGCCCACCGCAGCTGTCGGACATGAGCCCTACTGAAGAAGCAGACCAACACCACGCCAAATCCTAGACCGCTGATCACCCAAGACGGCGCCTTCAAGAAGTACATGACGCTAACACGCCACCGTCGCCCCAATCCAGAGATTGTAGGCTTTTGCCCGAGACCAGGAGGCGGAGGGCATGTAGTAGGTCTCGATGTTGCCCACCAGAGGGACAACGACGCCACGCGCGTCGCCAACATCGTGCCCGGCATCGCCGGCCAAGGGTTTCCCCGACCTAGTGCCCACACCCAGCACCCCACCACCAAACAGCACGCCAGGAGGATGCCCACATCTCAGCCGGTCAAGGAGGACAAGCGCCGGTGAAAGCCTCCAACTTCAGATCGAGATCCATGGCCGCCACCGCCTCGCCGCCCAGCACGGCCAAGACCAGCGCACCGCAGCGCCAGCGCCACTCCCAGACGTGGGAGCAGCGCCCTCTCCAACCGTGGCCGCCGCCACTAGCGACACCCGCAGCCCCGAGGGGACCAGATCGACCTCGCGGGCCTAGCCCCCACCACCACCGCTGCAGAGCCGCACCACCGCCTCCCAGCACCGCTGCTGCAGAATCCGCGCGTCCCCGCCGCCGGAGATCTCGCCGGATTCAGCTCCCCCACGGCCAACTGACCCGCGCCGCCAGGATCCCGAGCAGGGGATGAGGAGAGAGGCCCCGCCGCTGCCAGCGCCGCACGGGCTTCGCCCGGC